CACAAAAACAATATGTAATTATATATGTGTTTTCCGATGGTTTTAGGCGACCCCTGTGAAAGGGTCATTCGACCTCCAAAGGGGTCGCGACCCACAGGTTGAGAACCACTGGGCTAAGGCCTTAAATTCCAAAATTAGGTCTTTTATTGAATTATTCCTCCGTTTATTGAATAAGGGGCTTAGTGAAAAACCACAGTGTGAATTAGTTCATTTCTTCCTTTCCTGAGAGCAAGTTTGATGAAAGGGGCTTTAGGGTGCAAGAGATTTGGAAGCCACCAGGAATGTGTCTGTATATATTTGTACTCCTACAGTGGTTGGACACTCCAGGTTTTGTACCTCATGTTCTGCCATGGGTAATTTTCCCCCCTCTCCTTTCCAATCACCCTTATGGTGGAGCAACTCTTTTAGGAGATCAGTGTAACTTCTAGAACAAATGACTTTAAATCCTTACAAAATGGGTGGATTAACCCCATCCTTATGAGTGACCCCTCATCCCCATCCTTAGCTCTGGAGTTATTTTTGTTTTTGTCTCTTACGCTCACAACACTTCCTTCTATTAGTGCTAGAGCACATTTAGAATCAGTCACATTTCCAGAATTTCTCTTCTTAGGGGAGCATCTCAATGAGGAAAGGAAGTCCAGGGGCCTGTCAGGAAGCTAAGTTTGCATAGCGCTTTGTATAAGATTGAGAAAGTGTCAAAAGGCCATATTTGAATTGGGGTCGGGGTGAGTCTGATAGAAATCCCATTCCCTGGTGCCACCACTCTTGGAAATAAAGGTTCTGGAAAAGAAATGGAAAAATCCCAGCAAAACCGAAATCGCATGGCCCCGTGTTATCGTAATACCATAAACTCAAAATGTCTTGACCCAGCGCCCCCAGCAAGGTCATTTCAGAAACAATTGAGCTTCAGCAACTTGTCTTACCTGCCTCAGAATGACTAGGGCCTATTTAAATCTCGTGGTTGGTTAATCATTAATGAAGATTTTTGACAAACAAAGTAGAGCAAGCCAAGAAAGAAGGGTAGCTAAAAATTAGCTCAGGAAAGGTCATATTTCTTGCAAATGCAGGGTTTGGTGTTGCTTTTGATTGTGGGTATAATCGTGTGGGATGGAGTTGCAAGGAAATATAATCCCGCCGAGGAAGCCAGTGCACCTCTGAAGAGTTTACGTGGGACCCTCCGCTGCCCTTGCAGTCGCCTGGAGGACTAGACCTCCATCACCTTTGCTGAGAAGCCTGTCTTCCTGTAGGGCTACCAGACGGAGAGTTCCGGGAACAAACACCCTGGCCAACACATGTAGCTGCTAAATGACTCCAGAAGGTGGAACCTGGATCTAAAGGAAGGTGTGGGAAACCCTAAGAGCCTTGGCTGCCCCTACAGACTCTCTCACCAGATCAGGGTGGGTGGGCATCACCTGGAGCCAGGAAGGCTGAAGGGAGGGAGTTGCCCACTAGGGGGAGCACTCAGATACACCAGGCTGTTGATTGCTGCGACAATCAATCCCTCAGCTTCTGCAGCTGAGATAAATACTGATCTCTGCCATTTTCTAAAAGAAACTCAAAATCCTAAGGAGAAATGATTGAGGGTTCATCCCACTTCCCTGTTACAGGGACCAATTCTCTTTCTTCCACAGTTAACACAGGCCCATGAACCAAGTTTAATACAGCACGGAACAAAGGTCGAGTTTCTTCATGCCCTCTCTCTCTCTCCTGGAGGCAGCAGATTTGAATATACCATGCGTTTTCTTCTGGACCTGGCACCTTTTGTTCCCTCTCTTTCCTTCTCACCGGGCCTAACTCCTACTCCTCCTGTAGGTCATGGCTCAGATGCCACTTCTTCCCCAAATGTTTCTTAACCCCTTGGCCAGGCCTGTGTGGGTGTCGCCAGCATTTTATGGCACTTGCAACATTGTGTTATCATGCCTGGGAGTATGTGGAAGGCAGAGAGGTTGATTTTGTTGATCACTGTCTCTCCAGTGCCTCATGCTGTGCTGGCACACAGCTGGCACTCAACAAACATTTATTGAATAAACAGAAACAAAAGGAACAAAAAGGCATAAAATTAAAAGGCTTACTGGAGTTACTATAGCAGAATGCTGTCACACTACAGTGTATAAAGAAGGAAAGTGTTTGTTGAGTGCCTACAGCACACCAGGCTTTTATTTTACTTTATTTTATTTTATTTTTTGCACACCAGGCTTTTAAAAGATTCATTAACTCATCGGATTTTCAATAACCTTATGAGGGCAGGACTATTTTCTCTACCAATTAAGAAACTGATGCCCAGACGAGTGAAGCATCTTTCCCAGGGTCACATGGCTGACAAGTGGCAAAGCTGGGGTTTCACCTCCCAGGCATGTCGACTGCAAACTCAACCTTGTTCCACTAGCCAGTGGTTCTCAACCGTCTGGCCCTTTAAATACAGTTCCTCATGTTGTGACCCAACCATAAAATTATTTTCATTGCTACTTCATAACTGTAATGTTGCTACTGCTATGAATCGTAATGTAAATATCTGATATGCAGGATGGTCTTAGGCGACCCCTGTGAAAGGGTCGTTCGACCGCCAAAGGGGTCGCGACCCACAGGTTGAGAACTGCTGCCTAGGCCATGGTGTTTGCTCACAGAGCTAAGTGTTTGGGCAATCACATTTTTTCCAGGTTTAGTAGTGTGAGGAGTTAGGCAATAGAGGAATACTGGGTACTTAGGAAGGTTAGACTAATGAGGGAAAAGAGGACAAAGAAAAGGCTATATCCAGTCAACATCTTAGTACTTAGAATTAGCAAACACTTAGTGGATATCTCTTGAGTCTCATTCTATATTTAAGTCGAATCCTGCCCTTGACCTTGAGTGGTCAGAGATGGGGAATAGGTCAAGGTGTGGTAGGGCAAGGATCAAGTGGGTGTATCTCTATCATCCTACCTACCCAGTAATTTTTTAGGGTCATGGTGTCAAAATGCCATTTCATCAAAGCAGCCATGCCACACTGTGCGCCCACAGGACTATTAAAAAAATACCACATGATACTTGAAGTAATATACTATACATTTCTTTCAAAATGTCAAATCCCTCATATCCTTAAAATAGGGTCTGGTAAGCCAGTGAAGTCCATTATAGCTGACAAAATACACCTAGCACAGCACATGCCAGCGATGTCTGCTGGACTGTCCATAGGGTCCCCTTTTGCTAATTGTTCATTCAACTTATGTCTGTTGTTCTGACTGATATTTTTGGATTAAAAACATGCATGGGACACCTATTTTAGTGGAGGAGCCGAGGGAGTTATCTCCCCACGACCATTCTCTAGCCTCCTCCATCCTCTCTGGGACAGCCTTAGAGTCAGAACTCCTCAGATCTACCAGAGAACACATTTCCAGCAGCCTCCCTTCGAGCTGCTGTGTCTTCATGCTGAGAGTATGCATTTCCAGCCATTCTACCCTCAGTTCCCATCCCCCAAGAGGTTGCATATGAAAACACTTTTTACCCAACAACAAAAAAGAAGCTACACTTGTTAAAAAAAAAAAAAAAAAAAAAAGCCATTCTTTTCTTTTTCTGGGCTCTGAGGTAGGTGGTTAGCATGACTGGTTTCACCCATTTCCAGGAGTGTAAGCTCTATGGGTGCAAGATGTTTTTGCTTTTGTTCATACTGTAGCCACCACAGCACAGTGGTTCTCAACCTTCTGGCCCTTTAAGTACAGCTCCTCATGTTGTGATCCAACCATAAAATTATTTTCGTTGCTACTTCATAACTGTAATGTTGCTACTGTTATGAATCGTCATGTAAATATCTGATACGCAGGATGGTCTTAGGCAACCCCTGTGAAAGGGTCGTTCGACCACCAAAGGGGTCGCGACCCACAGGTTGAGAACCGATGACCTAGAACAAAGCCTGGCCCCCACTAGAGTGCAATTCACATTTTGTAGGATTGTTAATTCCTTTTCTAAGGAGATTGATCAAACGCCGTGATTCTGTAACTTGAAGGGCATCTGGACTCTTTTCCTAGGACAAGCAGGAATCAGCAGATCTGGCCGCCCTTGAAAATACTGCCTAATGACCTGTCCTCTGGAGAGTTTCCAAGCCTCTTCTGCCTCTAACAGGGCCTTTATCTTTGTAAGAGGAATGTGCATCCGGACGCTGTAACTCAGGCAGCTCAAGACTAAGAAGGTGAAATTCTTAATCAATGGCAGAAGCATGTGAGGCAATTTTTAGAAGTAATTCTATTGACAGCCTGCCACTTTCCCTCGAGTCATTTGATTGGCTCCGCTGATGGGCGCTGCCTGAAGTTAGCGATGAACTTTGGAGAAAGGGGAAGGAAGTGTTCTGCTAACCTTGCTGAGAGTGTGGAAAGGAGAAACAGAGGCGTTGGTTTCCTCTGCCGTGACCAACATTCAGGTCACCCCAGCACTTTCACGAAACCACCAAATAGCTCCATGTCACCCGAACTGCCTCCATTTAAAGTTGCGTGGGAAGCCTAACAGGATCATGAACACACGTAAGCAGTGACAGCCGTGACAGGCTCTGTCACATCCTCGTCCAGTCAGATGCTGAGAGTGTCCCAGAGTTCAACTCTCAACCACCTGAGCTCAAGTGTGACGTAGTAATAACTCAGTTATGACCATGTACTACTCCATCTACAACGGTGATTCCAAACGAAAAGACATGATAGCAACTTGCTGGTTTTCCAGCTGAAAGTACTGAATGAGTTCACTCCTTCTATGGTGTTAGGGTTTTTCTAATTTTGTTAGGAAGAAAAAAAAAAAAGAGGTTATGGGTCCCTCGTATGACATAAAGAAAACACAATTTAGAATAAGATTTTGAAATTGCTTTAAAGAAAGCTTTATTTACTACATACATCCTAAGAATGTATTGTAAATGGAGCAAGATCTAAATAAGTTTAAAGCTTTTCAAATACAAAGCAACTAAAGAGAAGGAAACTGCTAGCATGTTTGAAAACAGAAAACTCTAAAGCTTTTTTTTTTTTTAACATTTATATAGTTTGTTCTTAACCCTAAAAAAAAAAAAAAAAAAAGTTCACATTTCAAGTTATAAACTTACCTCAGTAGTGTATGTGAAATGGGTTTGAAATAGAAACAGATAAAAGGCTCACTGATACTTAACTGGCTGTCACCAACATTTGTTTTTAAGGTAGTTTGGCATTTGCCATGTTAAGATATCATTTTTTTCCTTTACTTTTTATTATTCTTTCCCCCCCAAACAACGTACAGGCACATGTAAAATACAGTAAGACCGCTGGGTCCAAGTCTCATCCAGGGAACCTCTGTGGCCATCAGACACTGGAAGGAGACTGCTTCTTCTCACAAAGCCACAGGAGGCGGCTCTGGTTCAAACGGCATTTCGTTGGGTTACTCATTCCAACAGACTCAAGTTTGGGTGCAGCTTGCTGGGTACATCATCAGGAACATTGCACAATCACTTTATGTCACTTAGGAATGGTGGGAAGGAATGTTTAAAGGCCTTTATGAGCACCCAATAACTTCACACAATAAATAAATATTGCTTATATATAAAAAATTCATCCCACTCTAAATTGGTGGCAGGGGTGGGGGGAGAGTGGTGCAGAATTTGGGAATCTCTTAATTTAAAATTTAAAACAAAACTAAAATATTTGTTTGAGGCATGATCCTATTATTAATCCATAAATAAGAATTCAGCCACCAGCAAAAATTCAGTGAGTGGAAAGATTTGGTGGGTCTCTAGTATTATATAAAAACACAACTGTGTTACTTGCTACTTATTGCACAACTCAATTCCTTGGTAGAGCCTTTAAAAAAAATTCCACGTTGATGTATTTCATAAAGTAGATGACGATCTTAATATTTTACTGTATTTTACATTCACTCTGCTAAACAAAAGCCTTTAAACAGGCACAAAACACTGCAACAATATATTTACTTCCTAATAAAACAAAGCTTTTAATAACATTGAAATAAAATGGTTTCCGTTTGCATTAAACTCTATACCATGAACTTCTGCAACATAAAAAACCTAAAAAGGAGCATTAGGGTATTTACAAACTATGTCTTAACTCCTGCCGGTCTCCCCCTCCTCCTGGGCGTGCACGGTCGACGCAGTTCACCTGCCACGTGGCACAGCCACGGAGGGAAGCCCTGTCTAACAAACATACTATTTTTAACGTCACTGGCGACCACAGACATTTTTGCATGAAACACGGTAAGGCAACTAGAAGTGTCACTTTCTGCAACAGGAGTCTCTGGGGGGCCTTGCTACAATAACATTCGTCGTCTCTACAAACTCATACTTCAAAAGCAAATAAAATACAAGCGTGAGAAAAGGAACTGAAGTTTTCTATCGGGCAATTAAATAGCTATGCAAAGATGTCTTATGAAAACTACTAAAATCTGTGCTTACACATAGTCTGCTATTGAAAATACGTCCCCAACCAAAACCCAAAATCCCCAACAAAAACCCAGAAGTACAAAAGCCACCCATGTTTTCTCTACCAGAGTAATTCATCTGCTCTAGACTTGCCACACAGGGAGGTGGGATGCGGGTAGAAGGCAGGGATGAGCAGGGGAGTAGAAGGCAATGTTAAGTTTAAGAGCAAAGACCCAGAAAGAATGAGCAGGCCCCAGGGTAATGGTGGCAGGGGAGAGCATTCCAGTGTTTAGACCCAGAAGTGTGACAAGTCTTTCCAATGTTGGCTTAAGGAGAGACCGGGTGTTTAATTTCTTTAAAAAAAAATAGAACCATCGTAGATAACACATGGTAACCCCGTCAACCCTTAATGCCAGCAAAAATAGAGGTTTTACTCATTTTAAAATTGCACTTTCCAGTATAATTTTTAAAATAACGTTTTATGTGATAGTTTTAAAGCACTATTGTTTGTATCTTTAAATATTGAATATATTTTTCAAAATAGTTCCCTAGCTGCTCAAGTGTGCCTTTTAATATATAGTTGATATATTATTGAAGGTACTACAAAATAGAAATCTCTGGAGTGCAGAAGTTAAGAAAATAACCTTCATACTGAAAATATATCCTTAAAAATACAAAAACAAAAACCTCTATACAAACGTACTACAGCATACAAATTTTTAAGAGATGGTCTTAAGGCACGAACCATTACAAGTCTCTTAGAAATGTATGAACACAGGCTGCTAAGTTGAAAATAGTCTTAAAAAACTAGTGAAAACTTCATGTATATAAAATATTTCAGTATGGTACTTGACTACATTCTTCACTTTCAGGTTTCATCTGTGTGCTAAGCCACCATGCTCTTTCTTCATAAATAGTAAAGTGTTCCTTCAGTGGTAGTTTCGCGATCCGTCTCCGCTCTCACCCCCAGAATCAGTACGTCTGGTAGACGTCATGAATGGGAACCTGAATAGCAGCAGCAGGGAAGGCCTGAGGTATATAGCCAGCGTAGCCTCCGTAGACGGCGGCGGCCGCGGCCGCGTTCTTCTGTAGTGTGGCGATCGTGGCTGTGGCCGGAGCAGCAAAGGGAACGTAACTGGCCCCATAGATCCCGGCAGCGGGAATTCTCTGAATGTTTGGAGCCACCGTGTATACGGGAGTTATTGGACGGCCCTGCGGAAGAGAGAAAAAGAATCCTTACCGATCGATCGGGAGCACCTTTCCCCATTTAGTCATCCATTCAGTTAACAACTCCACTCATTCCTTCAACTCCCAGGTGTAAAAATCAAGGTCTCCACTCTCAGGGAGGGGAGGGAGAGGAGTAAACAAAGAACAAATATTTGTCTAAAGCAGGGGTGAAAAGAGCCGTTGAGATAAGGTGGAGCTGCATCCTCAAGGCTCATGCAAATTCCACAGGCGAAAGTGAGAACCAGAATGCTAAAGGAGTCTTCAACCCACCATTCACTCTTTCAGCATATGCCCAGGGAACTAGACAAGGAAGTTGAGAATCCACCCTTTACTTAGCTGACCTCACAGTAATTAAACATTTCCTTAGCTCTGGCCGGTGTGGCTCAGTTGGTTCAGTGTTGTCCTGTGCACCAAAAGGTTGCTGATCAGATTCCCGGTCAGGACACATGCTGAGGTGGTGGGTTTGGTTCCGGGGTGCTTACGGAGGCAACCGGTCAATGTTTCTCTCTCTCCCTTCCTCACTCTAAAAGTCAATAAAAACATATTTCACCCCCTAAAACAGGGACCTAAAACACATGCCAGCTGCCTCAATTCAAACTTAACTGAAGGAACATGATATTTCAAAAACAAGGAGAAAGGACTGACAACTTTATGGAAAAAAGTATGCAGACCTCCAAAGGGGCAGCTTCGTAAGCTGTTCCTCATAAAAACCGACCATACACAATCTTCAACAAATGTAATGGTTTCAACCACCTAAGATGTAACACCACTATACATACAAATTGTTGCAGAAACTTACAAAAGGAACCCACTAACCTGGGGAAGCTGGAGATAGCATCTCGGAAGTGGAGACACTGAGCTGGGTTGTGAAGGATAGGAGGAGTTTTCACATGAATCAGGAGAAATAAGTAACTAAAGCTGCCTCGATGGAGCTGCCACCACCGACAGTGAAAGTCCCCGCTACTTCCCCCTCTCTACCTGAAAGTGTAGCATACTATGTTTTCAGAGCAAATGTGAGTAGAGAGGGCATACTGTGGTTCAGTATTTCCCAAAGTGTTTGGCACAGAGAAGGGGATTTTTGGTAAAATAAGACATACATTTAACAAAATCTCTGGAGCACTTTATCTTCCACAGGATGCCTGCCCCATAGCAAATGCTGCTAGGGTCTCTATGTCTTAATGCATCTGCAAATAATTCAGGATACATGACATAGAGAATTAGGTTTATTTCCTCCTGGATTTTTTTTATAAAGGAGTATCATTCCTTTACAAAATCTGCAAATCAGAGTGACAAAATTATGTTCAAAGGGACTTCATAATCTAAGAGTCATTTTTTCAACTATAACCAAAACAATAATTATACTAATGATATAATAATAATAACTGAGAGATTGTGGTTTGCCAGACACTATTCTAAGCGCCTTATTTGTATGACATATGGGATCATTACGACCACTAATGAAGCTGGTATGGGATTACATGGAGAGGTTAGCATGTGCTCAGTGTCTGGCACAGGGAGGAACAGCTTTGGAACGGTGGCACTGTGACCCTAGAGCCTGCACTTTATTTAAAGCCACATTATCTTGCCTTCTATAACCTATAACAACAAACACCTCTTTGGCAATATCTTACAACCCGGGAGAGGAACTTGGGAACTGGGAAGACTGATTCATAGCAAGACACGAGCAATCTTTTCCAAATGTGTGGACATATATTTACCGACAAATGCACCAAGGGGCGGGGGGGGGGGGTGGTCATCGCAGGGAAAGTGACATCAGAGAGAAACCTCTTCATATGCTACGGTCCGACCCAACACCCGGGCTCAGAAATGTGTCCCATCCACCCACCGGTAGAGTTTAAAATGCTCCTTGCTCTGCTGCAGTTTGGCAGAGAACACAGACAGGGTGAGGATGGAGCACGGCAGAGAACCCAGGTCAAATGCCAGAGGGCGGGCCACAGAGCACGTAGGTTTGAGGGACAGCACCCAGGCCAAGCACACCCAAAGGAGCCATTCCCAGGTTAAAACAGTGAGTGGCATCAGGCATTCTGCAGAATACGCTGAAGGAGGGACAAGTCGCCAAAGGAGTCAACTGACTGATGATGGTACATTGAGCAAATTCTTAAGCAGAGACATCAGATAAAGGCCCTGAAGGTGACCTCCAGTGCAGAGTGACAAGAGATAGCTACAGCCTGCTATTCAACACGAGCGTGAGGCCGGGAATCTGGGCCTGACCAGAACCGATGCTACATGTCAAAGGCAGAAGTTCACGCGTTTCTTAATAAAGAGGAATTATAAATTATTACAATAATTCCACCAAGTATCGCTTGTAGGCTACTGTAGATATTCACACTTCACAAGAAGTAACGGCACTTGGCTGTCATTCTACAGTGTGAATCAATGACACCTATTCCAGGTTCTGGCTGCAGGAAGGCCTGCGTTAGAGAATACTTGGTGACACATTGGGAGGTGAATACACGTTCAGCTTTCTGAATAATGCAGTCCAGACTGGTGCTCAAGTGGGCAAATGCAAGCGAGCAGCAGCCCACTGCGGCGGCTCACAAGCCTGGCTGTTGCAGCATCACTGAGGAGCTTGTACAAAATGTGGATTCTAGCAGCTCAGTTCTGTGACCCGGAATCCTCTGAGGTTTGAGTCCAAGAATCTCTGTTCTCTGGATAATTCTTATCCAGTTAGATAAGAGATCCCCGGCCAGAGTATTTGTGCTTGTTGGCTGGGAAGGTATTTCGCTGCCTCACAAAGAACAGCTTTAGCAAGACTTTATTTTCTGTTTGGCTAAATGGCTGTCTCTCACTTACAGGCATTCTGTGTGCTATGCACTGAAGAGACAAAGAAATGTAAGCTGTAGCCCTCGTCTGGAGGACCTTTGTTGTTGTTGTTGTTAATCCTCACCTAAGGATACTGTTTCCATTGATTTTTAGAGAGAGTGGAAGGGAGTGGGGTGGGGAGGGAAGGAGGGAGGTTGGGGTGAGAGGGAGGGAGGAAAGAGGAGAGAGGAAGGGAGGGAGGGAGGGGAGGAAGAGAGAGAGAGAGAGAGAGAGAGAGAGAGAGAGAGAGAGAGAGAGAGAGAGAGAGAGAGAGATACTGAGATTGAGCCAAACCAGCCCAGGTTGGAGGAGCTTCATTTTAATTGGGGAGATGGAACATACTGACAGCCATATGCCAAGTACCGCTGTAGGTAATGAGACTTCCAAGGCTAAGTGGATGGGGAAGATACTACAGATGAGATGAGATGAGATGAGATGAGATGAGATGAGATGAGATGGAGGAAACCACACAGAAGAGAACACTGTGAGCAAAGTTGGGGAGGAGGGTGAAAGGTGAGGGTGGATTGGGAGAGATGTGGGAATAGTAGGATATGGTTGGAGGAGATGATTACAGGCAGATTGTGTAAAGGGTCACATATCTCTACCTCTACAGATATTTCTCTCTCCATGTACATACATGCTTATAGATGTATACATTTATACAAATGTATATGTTTATACACAGAGAGATTTAAAAATGAAATTCTTCATTGAACTGCAATTCAGAATGTGAAACTGGGAACTATCTCCCTGACACTTGCACCTTAACAAAAAACCATGAGTTAAAAATTATTGTGTCATAAAAAAAAATAGTAAGCACAATATTGTGACACTGAAAAATTACACGTCATTTTTGTATATTGCTTCCCATCTTTAACTCTAGTGATAACAGCAGAGTTATGCAATTATTATTGAAAATTGTTCTGTCCTGTCATGATTTATTTAAACATTTTTTTCTGCCACCGATTCCATAGTTCTAACAGAGAGCTAGGCACACAGTGAACTCCCCTGCGGAACAGTAAATGAACCCACGCAAAGGGAGGCCTCACACGCAAAGTACAATGACTGCGGCAGGAACTGTACCTGGAAAGGCGGTGGCGTTGACACCGCGGGAATGACGGCGGCGGCAGCAGCGGCAGCGGCGGCGGCGCTGGCTGGGTCTGGCTGCACGGCGATGGGACTGATCATGTGCTCCATTGCGTGGATTTTGCCATCTTCAAGCATTTTAGGAGCGGGAGCCGCCTGAAACATGGAATACTGGGCCCCAATGGCAGGGATGGCCACTGCAAGAGAAGTAAGAGGGAAACAGGTGCATCACTCCCGTCACTTAAAAGGCCCATCACTGTCTTGACATTTTTAAAAACCAAGTTTGGCAGCCATGGGCTTCTCCCTGCTAACTTTGCTTTCTCAGTACAGGTGAGGAGGTGCTACCCAAGAAGAAGAGAGAGGAGGTGGCAGGTACCCCCTCCCCGCCCCCGCTGGTCTTTCAAAAGGAACCACGTGGGCATGGATGTAGGCTCCCAAGAGATCACCATGGGAGGAAAGTCTAGAGTTAGGTTTCTGCACCATTTCCCTGTTAGTTTCAGCTATACCGGGGCCGTGCGAAGTAACTCTGGATTGAAAAATCTCATTTTGAATCTTACTCTTGATGTCCTACAGAGCAAGGGGCCTTGTAGCTGAGAAAACAGGCTCTGAGAACAGAGGCTGGAGGCCCCGCGGGGTGAGTAAGCCCCTGTCTCACTCACTTCTCCTTCATCAGACCTACTGCCCTTTCAGTTTCACCGCGTTCCATGAAGCAGGCGCAGTGGAGGGTTTCATTCTGAGCACTCAGAGGTCTGTGTATGCCTTCCCCACCTGTGTTTCAGATTTCAACATTACTGATTCAAGGAAAAACACACCGTAAAAATAAAATTTTCCCTACTTTTCTAATGTCCACTCAATAGTGAAGCAGTAGTGACTTTTTTTTTTTTTTTTAATGGGACTGGCCAATTCAAAGAGGTGTTTCTGTGAGTAAAGATCACCTCATTTCTCCGAGATTTAAACAGGCATTATCGAATGTCAGTGTATGATTAATAGAAGTAAAAAGAAAATATACTCTCCCTGATTTGGGGGCATTTGTGCGAGTGTGTGTGTGTGTGTATGTGTGTTGAAAGGATAAACAAGAATATGAAATGCATACACAAATATCCTTTCATTTATGGTTTTTCTTCAACAGTAGGCACATTTATTCTAATGAAAGCTGACTTGATATAAGGTAAAGAAATAGATTTGACTGTAGGCTAAACAATGGCATGGTCGTCCAATAAAATCTTCCTAAAGCTTTAGCCAAGCCTTTCATCTGCCTTTCCAATCATATGGTCTTGTGCCCAGTCACTTCATCACTGCACTCACTGGTGGTTCTCCTACAATGGGAAGTTCTAATTTTCTGGACTGAACAGAAATAGAGGCGAAGGGGCGGGGCTCAGAGAGGGCTGTCCTTTCAGCTACACTGGAGTTGTGCAGAGTGACTCTGGCTTGTTCTGGTTATCCGCCCTCAGGAATTTCTACCCGGGGCCCCGGGACACGACTATGCCAGTAAAGATGGTTTAAAGAGTTCTTTTCTCTAGTTAAACCTTAAGCTATTGCAGCTTGCCAACAGGTGTCCCTTTTCCAACAAGCAGACGTAGCAACTCCTGTCTCCAGGCTCTGTTTTATGGAATTACAGAAAGACACGGGAACAGTTCACAATGATTATAACATCAGCGGCATTTATACAGAAATCCAGTCTAAAGAGTCACTTAGTTGCAGAAATTGCAGATTTTTCTTCACAGGCCAAAACAAACAAACACACAAACAAACAAACAACACCCCCCTCCCCCCAAAAAAACACCAAAAAACAAAAACCCAAATCATATCACTGAATTAAATTCAAAAGGAAGTTCTACTGGGAAAATGCTTTTAAGCCCGAGGTGGCCTACACAAACCTTCTGCCCAAAATGAGCAGAGCCCTTGACTCTGTCAGCTGGAAGGACCAGAAGAAAGTCAGAGTAGCTGAACTTCGAAGTGAGGGGTCTCTCTAAGAGCTCTTCTATCTACCCTCAGGGAGACCAGGAAGTGGTCTGGAGGAGGAGCGCCCGGTTACCCACTACTGGCTTTTCCCCCTGGTGTGTGCTAATAATAAGGAGTTTGTGCTGTGCTCATACAGTGGAGTTAAAGTTCCGTGCAGGTTATGGCCAGAAAGACCTGTCTCACCAATGGGCACAACAGGTTTGTTTTGGCCTGTGAAAAAAATTCTGCAATTTCTGCAACTAAGTGACTCTTTAGACTGGCAAACTGGTTTGAGAGGGGAAAGCAAAGTTCAAGGTTCCTGGCTTGAATCCCTTGAGCAGCCCTATTCCAATCTATTGATCCAGGGAGAGGAGGAATTGGAATCCAGGCAACTAGCAGCTGCCTTGTTCTCTTGTTCCCGGGAGGTCCAGGCTGGTTAAGTCCATGAGAAGGGACAAGTAGTGCTAGTTGCTCCAGAAGGGGAATTTTCTACAACTCTCAGAATGGCAATAAGCTAGCTGCACCCTCTGGCTTCTGATGGCTGGAGTGGAAATTGGATTTAGTGAAGGAAAAGACAGTTTTGAGCTGACAGAAGATATAGAACAGCCTCATATTCTTCCATTACCCGCCTCCTGCCCCCACAAATGCCGAATCAGTCAGAGATTGAGAAAAAGCCTGACAACGGATGACACACATTTGAAAAACCCACTATTGGAAAGCTGGACTTGAGCATGGTCAAAGCTAGACAGTCCTCTTAAATTCCAGGTTAAGGACAGCCAGGAGGCCACATTCTTTGCCTAATCTCTGGCTGCCTGCCAGAGGAGAAACCCACGTGCATGAGCCCGAGGTAGGCTTGGGGTTGCTGCAAAGAGAGGGTTGGGATTTAGGCTGAATGGGTGCATTCTCGCTCTCATTTATACTGACCTGCACCAGGTTTAATGGCAACTGGGTTGACAGTAGAGATTTCCAAATTCGGTACAAGTTCAAATCCTTTTTCTTGCTGCTTTCCTTTCCCTTCATGATATCGGCTATATATACCACGGCCAGCAGAATATCCCCCGAGGTAGGAACCCCTGGGCCCTGGGTTTCTGTTGCCAGCTGCACCTCGACCCCGGCCTCTTATGCTGCCTGCTTATAATAACAACACAAAAAATGATGAGCAACCAACAGTGACAGCACAGGAGGCAGATCTCAACGCAAGGTGCTTAGCATTTAGATGTTGGCCCCAAGTCTAAGTTGCAGGGGGCTACACCTCTCTTGTTCAGTGAGCTGGGGAAGATGCTTCCGACATTCCATTGCAGCCTAGATTCCCATCCTGCGCATGTCTACCTGATGCAAGAGATGAACTTGCAGGGTGCTGTTCCTAGGATTGCAACTGTAACTTCAATAAAGAAAAATGTCATCGATTGTAAAAAAAAAAAAAAGTTAGACCTGGAAGGGAACTGCTGGTTTATCTTCCTCATTTCATGCGTGAGAAAACAGGCCTAGGGAGGTGGAAGAGACGGACTGAAGTCACAGGGCTAGTCAACCCGAGAGCAGGACCCAGAATCTTGGTATTGTTTCCCGATGTAATGCCTGGTTTTATTGTACCTCGTCAAATGATCGAAAAACAAACAAACAAAAAAGCAAACCAACAACGTTGTGCCCTCTACTCCCCTACATATTAAAGATAGAATTTCTTTTTACACAGGTAGGTTTTAACTGGAGGACCTGGAAACTAGACCCCAACTGGGTAGAACCCAGGCAGGCAGCATGCAAGAGCTTGCATGCCCCCTGATTCTACTGCTCACTCCACACACAGGAACCTTCTGCATGTCTCTCAATGCTAGAGAGGTGAATTCCTAAGTGCCAGCAAGGAACCCAGAACTGACATCCAAATGAGGGTAGGTAGGGGGTCAGCATCCACCAACTCAGTTACAGCCACAACATCCCTGACGCGGCCCGCCTAGCAGACACGGCTCTGGGGGGCCTCCCCAGGAGCACAGTCCCCACTAACCTTTCACGAAGTATTCCCTGTTGGGCCCGATGAGCGCGTTGTAGGGGTAGCCATAGTAGGCCAGCGTGTAGGGGTCGCACGAGTACACATAGCTGGGCTGCTGCTGCACGGCTGCCGCCTCGGCCGCACCGCCGCCCTTGGCCGCCTTCTGGTAGCGGGAGTACTGCTCCTTGTCTACCGGCTTGGCCAGCGTCACCTCGAGGCACGAGCCCTCCAGCTCGGTGCCATTGAGGTGGTTCATGGCGTGCACGGCGTCCTCGCGGCTGGCGAAGTGCACGAAGGCGTAGTCGCGGATCTTCTTGACACGCTCCACGCAGCCGGGGTTGAACTGGCCGAAGACCTTCTTGATGGTGTCCTCCGTGGTCTCGATCATGAGGTTGCGCACGTAGAGGATCTTCACGGTCTCCATCACGTCCTCGTCCACGTCGATCTCGGGCTCGGCCCAGTCCACGGCGATCTGGTGGCCCCAGAGCTGGATGCGGCCGGGCATGAGCTTGCGGCGCGCCATGGCCGCCGCGCGGTGGCTCTCGTACTCCACGAAGGCGAAGCCGCGGTTCTTCATCTTGTCGGCGGCGCTGGCGTAGACGATCACGTCCAGCACGCCCTCGGTGACCTTGGAGATCTCCTCCAGGATCTCCTCGCGCTTCTTCATCTTGGGGATGCCGCCGATGAAGAGGCGGCAGTTGTCCACGCTGCAGCACACGCCGAGCAGGCGGCCCGGGCGGATCTCGTAGTTGTTGAGCTCGCGCACGGCGCGCTTGGCGTCGGCCTTGTGGCAGTACATGACGAAGGCGTAGCCGCGGTTCTTGCCATCGAAGTCCATCATGAGGCGCAGCTCGTAGATGCGGCCCACCGTCTCGAACACCGGCACCAGCTCGTCCTCGTACACGTCGCGGGGGATCTTGCCCACGAAGACCTCGCAGCCGCGCTGCGGGTGCGCGCCCTCCCAGCCGGGCGGCGGGCCGCCGTACTTGCGCTGCCCGTTCTCCTGCACCATCGTGTAGCCCGTGCGCTCCATCAGCGCCAGCAGCGCCGCCTCGTTGGGCGCGCCGGCCACGCCCTCGGGCACCCTGACCGCGGATGCGGGGGCTGGGTCGCTGCTCATGGCTGCAGTGGAATCTTCTGCAGTCATAATGTCAGAGGCATCCACGGCTGCTGGAAACCTGGGGGAGGCAGAGAAGGGAGGGTGAGTGTGGTGGCATCTGCACGAATGCAGCCAGAACCTGACTCCTCCACCCCCCATCTCACCCCCTCACTCCCCTCCCCCTCTTTTTTTTTCTTTTGAAGACATACAAGGCTCATGCTTAACCATCAGGTGATTACATGAGAAAGAACATGGAGACCCGCTCTGGAAACGCAGCAGCTCTAAAATAGTCTAGTCACGTGGTATTGCACGAAAAACCAGAAGTTGACTCGGAAAAACATTCAGAATGAACGAGCAAGTACTTCCGCTTAATCAGCTTCGAAGAGAGAACCTGCTGTAATTGTCAGTGAAAAGCTTACGTTCTTGCAGCAAATGGCAACATCTTTTGCTTAATTCCTGCCTGTCAACTCAGATTGATTTCCCTTCAGTGATAGCACTTCACCCACATTTATTTCTTTGGCAGACAAAGCCTCTTTCTTTGCTTTCTTTTTAAAACACAGTCTTTTTCACTTGGGAATGGAAATAGAGCAACGTATTTACATTGTGAAGAAAAACTTTGAGGTGCTATACAAGGTAGATACAGAGTTGTGTGCTGACGCTCTTCCCAAGGACGAATTGGACCGCGCACATTGCCAAGGACTTGGCCGAGGAGCTGTGGTAAAGAGCGGCTAAGTGTGATTTTAATGGTGCCATTCAAGCAAAAATCTTGGATTTAGAATCAGTCCTCAAAGAGATTAAGCTCAAACCGGGACACTCGTGAAGCAGCAACTACCTGGTAAGCCACACTCTAGTTTTCGGAGCAGTGTCACAAGCACCATCTTATTTGATCTTAATCGCCTTACATGGTAAGTGATAGTATCATTAGTCCCAATTTGTCTGTGGGGAAGTAAGCTCAGAGAGGTTGAGTAAATTGCCCATTTCACATAGCAAGTACCAGCTAGTACCAGGACTCGATGCCAAGTTGCCTGGCCTCAGATTCTGGGTTCTTCTAAACCAGTGCTGTGCATTGCAACTTTCTGTGGTGATAGAAAAGCTGCCACCCGCCACCTGTGGTTACTGAGCAATCAAAATGGGGCTAGCATGACTGGTAAATGGAACTTATCATTATATTTAATTTTAACTAATTTAGAATTAAAAAGAATTAATTAATTTAGAATCTTATATGATAGTATAGGTCTAAACTGTGCCACCTTCATTCATACAGCTCAGGGGTCTGTGGAAATTATGTAGATATATTCCTCACCTGAGGATATTTTTTCCATTGTTTTTAGAGAGTGGAAAGAAGGAGAGAGCGACAGAGAGAGAAACATTGATGTGAGAGAGACACATCAATTGGTTGCCTTCCACATGGGCCCGGACCAGGACTGGAGATTGAGCTTGCAACTGAGGTACATGCTCTTGACTGGAGTTGAACCCGAGACTCCAGTCCATGAGCGGATACTCTATCCACTGCGCCAAACCGGCTAGGGCATGATTTTATTTTTTATCGTTTTTCTCAGAAGAAATGATTTTAAATTATACAATAAGATTATCATAGTGTGCTTTTGTAATGAAAAACTGTGATTGGCCTTTTGAAAAATGAAGTTATTTCATTTCTTGGACTATAAAAGTATTCAAGCAAATTTTATGGACAATCGAGCAAAGTAAATAAGAAATCATTCTTAATTCTGCTACTCAATGATAGCTAAAATTAAACTTATCTTTTTTAAAAATAGCTTTTCGGGGGTGGGGGATGGAGCTTGGCTTCTAGCAAATTTATATTCTGCTCCTTTACTTCATTTTATAAGCATTCCTCCATGGTCTTAAAACTCTTGGTAAAAACATAAAAATTAATGGCTACTAAGGTTTCATTGTTTAATAAGGACCTGGAGCATTGTTAATTTTTTAAAAAATCTACCACTAGGAATTATATACAAGAGTATTGAGGGAAATTTGAAGGATAATTAAACTTATCTAAAGAAAAAACAAAACAAATTGTAGTGACACAACAGAAATACAGAAATGAGCATGGCTCAGTGATTGAGCGTTGACCCATGAACCAGGAGGTCATAGTTCAATTCCTAGTCAGGGCACATGCTTGAGTTGCAGGCTCTATCCCCAATGGGGGCGTGTAGGAGGCAGCCAATTAATGATTCTCTCTCATCATTGATGCTTCTATTCCTCTTCCTCTCCCTTCCTTTTGGGGGGGGGGGGAAGGAAGGAAGGAAGGAAGGAAGGAAGGAAGGAAGGAAGGAAGGAAGGAAGGGAAGGAAATAAATAAATAAATAAGTCTGAGATGTTTATTTGCCAGTTGGCCAAACCAATACTTCTCTGGTTTATTTGCTGTAGCATCTAGATCCGGTTTAGTGCAGTGGGGGAAGTGTGGCCTCCAGAGCTGACTGCATGCTTGTGTGTGAGTCCCAGCTTTAACAGTTCCTAGTTGTATGACCTGGGGCAAGGATACTTAGCTGCTCCATGCCTCAGTTTCTTCATCTGTAAAATGGGGACACTGATGATGGTATTTAGAAGAGTGACAATATATACAAAGCACTTTGAACTGTGCTCAGAACATTGCAAATGCTCAGGAAATGTCATTATTATCTTCCATCCAAATTTCTGGGTAAAACTTTAGACCAATTCTCTTAATTTTAGAGTAATTTTGACACTTTCCCGGTTCTTTAAAAACATCTGCTTAATAAGGCTTCTATTCTTACTTTTTAATTTTCTTTGCTCTTCAAGTGCTTGAAAGCTGGTTTGGCAACACATGTAGTTATCATGAAGGATTTTGTTTTAGTATTCATTTGGGAAAATGAGATGTTAATTCCTATAGTTTCAAGTTGAAACAAAAATTTCAATATCAGATTTGAATATGAAGATCTTTTCCTCCTTTCAAATGGAAGAAAAGGGCATATTCTTAAGAATACTATTTATATAAACACATGTGTGTTTATCATCTTTGCCCTGGAAAAGAAATGCTAAGTATATATTATAAACATGTATGAGGCAATTCAAGATCTTATGTGTTGCATTACTAAAACACTGACTAAAGTCCAAAGGAATAGATAGACCCTATCATTCTGCTGAGCTATGTGGAGTTGACTTTTTGTTTTCCTAATTGTACTTAAAACTACCATTTTACAAAAAGAAAAAAGAAAAAGAAAAAAAAAGAAAAGAAAAAAAAGGTCTTCTAATGGTCAGGTTATGGGAGTTATTTTCGATCTTAACCCCATTAAATTCACCCCAAATTCTGTTTTCAGTCTGAAATCTGCTGGTCTCAGTTACTTAATCAATTCATTTAAAATAGTTATAGCTTATTTCTTACATCTTTGAGCCAAGAAAAGCCTTTCCCTGCCCTCCTGAACTTACGTCATCTGGAATAAATGAATCACGTTACCTGCCTTCTTTCCCTTTTTTCTTTGGCCATTAGGAAGTTCAGGACTGAATTTGTCACTTCAGTTTTAATAATTGTATAGAACATTACAACACACTCTCATGCTCACCTAATTTTGGCTATAGTTGTTTTTCAGCCTTCTATATTCCCAATGCCAGGAATTTAGCTATTTATATTATTAATCTTATTGTTTACATGTTCTTGGAAGCCATGTCATATAATTTGGGAGCTAGGAGAAGAATAAATGCACACACACAAATCTAATTTGCACCAGATGTTAATTAATGTAATATCTAAACTATTACATTAACTACAAACATTGACATAAAAACAAGTGAGAAGCACAGTGAGATACAATTTCACGCCCATTAGCATGGCAATTATTTAAAACAAAATACGTGTTGCCAAGAATGTGGGCAAACTGGAACACTTGAGCATTGCTGGTAGGAATGTAAAATGTTGCAGCTTTAGAAAACAATATGGTGGTTCCTCAAAAACTTAAACATAGAATTAAACATATAATCTACTAATTTCACTTTTGGGTATATACCCAAAAGAATTAGAAACTGAAACTCAAACAGATATCTGTACACCAGTGATCACAACAGTATTATTCACAATAGTCAAAAGGCGGGAAAAAACAAATGTTCATGGCCACTTGAATGGATAAACAAAATGTGGCACATATACACAATGGGGTATTATTAAGCTTTAAAAAGAAAGGAAATTCTGACACATGCTACAACATGGATGAACCATGAAGACATTATGTAAGTGAAAATAAGCCGGACACAAAAGTACAGATACTGTATCTTTCCACTTATATGAACTACCTAGAATAGTCAAATTCATAGAGATAGAAAATAGAACGGTGGGTGCCAGGAGTCGGGAAAAGAGAGAATGAGGAATTGGTGTTTACTGACTTTGTTAGGGATGATGGGAACAACAACGTGAACTATACACTTAAAAAATAGTTAAAAAGGTGCCCTGGCTGGTGTGGCTCAGTTGGTTAGGTACCATCCCATGCACCAAAGGTTGCTGGTTCAATTCCCAGTCAGGGCACATGCCTGAGTTGTGGACTTGACCCTCAGTAGGAGACATGCAAAAGGCAGCCAATAGATGTCTTGCTCTCACATTGATGTTTCTTTCTCTCTCTCCCTCCCTCATCCTCCCTCTCCCTTCCTCTCTCTCTAAAAATCAATTTAAAAAATCTTTAAAAAAGGTTAAAATGGTTCATTTTGTTATATGTATATTTTACCACAATTTCTAAAAACAAAAAAGTGATGCAAAATAGTCAAAAATAAGATTCCATAAAATTATAATTTCAATGGAAGCCATAAAAAAAGATACATTGAGTTAGTTTAACATATTAAAAAAATGTTTATGGTTTATAAACCCTATTCTCCTATCTTCATAGCTAATATAACATAGTTGAAAAATTATACGGTATGCTGTGCAATGAATTTGAGCCCACAGGCTTAGATTTATAAAAGATAATTTATTCAATGCCTTAAAAGGGGGAACTATACAGCTAACATGTCTTTTCTCTTAGAGATGTAACAGAATGTGTAACTTACTACAATTAGACATGCTTTAGACCAGGCCTTGGCCAGCTATGGCCTTGGCCTGTCCTTCGTTTTTGTTGGGGA